TAGTAATAGATGTAATAAGGCTAAGTTTAATCAAGCTAAAAAAAAACGCTTTTAAGTTTACGTTTTGGAGACGATAAACCCTTGTGGTATTGTTTTTAATATCTTATAGAAGAGGATAAAATGGAGCTAATTAAATGTCCCAGAGAGCATACTGGGTCTTATCTTAGGGTGTGCCAGGATAATATTTATTTAAGCAGACTATTAAATTACTTTGTGTAGCCCAGAAGTTCCAAAGGACACATTTTGAAAATCACGAATATGGACCACATTTTCATCAAGAGGTCCCCGCGCATTTGCCCTTGTGTTTCTGAAACAACTTGTTGTTCTTGGAGAAAATAACAGAGATCTATTGATTTCTTTAAGTCTCGGGAAACAAGTAGGCTCTTTTCTTTCTCCCTTCCCCAGTTTAATCATCTAAATCATAGTAAACCTTTCAGCATGATAAAACTTGATCTTAAGTGAGTAGAAAGAGTAAAGTGATTATATTTAATTCAATCCATATCTGGCTCTTTTAATACAATATACCTTACTTTGATAATTTAGCTTCCAGCTGATTTAGAATATGGTTCCTTATTACTTAGTCTTGTCATAGTGATTACACCTACTTAACATAGTTAACGAAAATCTTCATATTCTGAGGTTAGAGAAGTTCTTGATCTCTTGGCACTGGGTAATTCAATTATTTCTTTTCTCACCACTTCTTATTCTGGTCTTTTGAAAAGGCTTTCCCTTTTTATTGCCTTTAACTGCTTTTCCCCAGAGTCAATTAACAGGTAAATAATGATTTGTAAAGCAGAAAGTAGCGCTTCATTAGGATAGCACTGGAAGAAGGCAATTCTTTCCTCAACACAAATTGAACCATTCTCTTTTTGCTGAAGATAAAATATAGGCTAAATTAATCATTTATTTTAGAGTGATTTGACTTAACCAAATTAGCCAATGCTAATATCAAAGGGTTCCATTTGCTGTTTCCCTGGAATATGTTTTTCTTGTTGGCATTCTTCTGTTCGTGGCAGATGTGGAAAGAGCTAAGTAAAACATTTTGCACCGCACTTAACTTAGTTTCCAGGGAAGAAGAACAAAATAAGGTCGATTTTGCATCAGCCTAACTGAGAACATCAGCTAGAAAAGACTATATGTGACTTGAGAAAAAGGTGGAGGATGAGGGAAGAACTGAGAAGTTGGGCTACTCTTACCTGGTCCCGAGCGTGTTGCCTCCTTACACCGAATAGAAGAAATGTGATTGCAGACCATCCCTTTGATTCCCATCCCGGCATCTGAGGAGAGTCCCTCCCTAGAGAACCGAGGTCTGCCCCGTGAGATCAGTTCAGAGCCTGGATCGCATGCAGAGCTTAGGGCTCCAAGTGGGACACCTACAGCCCAAACAACTTGACACTGAGACGCCCTCTCCTGGGCTTCTCCGTACTCCCTGAAGGTGCTGTTTTCTTCTCCATTTCCCCTCCAGCACATTTCTCAGTCTCATGCTAAAGAGGAGGCTGCTAATTGTCTTGCTCCTTTTACTGACATTGTTCTTATTTTTATGAAGAATACTGAGCCGCACCCGGCTTCTCTGGTTCACGCAATTTCTCATCACTTTCTATAACATTAATAGAACAGTGTGAGGTTGTTTGTCCTGGTCACTGGAAGGAATAGTTGGACATTGAGCTGAGGTTCTGAGATACATACTCTTTCATTGGCTGTTTCAGGTACAGGCAGTGCGAGGGAGTGCCCTGCGGGACAAGCCATGACTCCAGTTCTGCAGGTGTCTGGTTTGTTTCCTCCTCTCCACCAGGTGTGTTAGTACCCTCTAGTTTCCAAGAACAATGATAGGAACCAAAATTTGCTTTGCAAGACAGAATTTAGCCTTTGGTCAACTTGAAAAGGTACAGGGTGACGTAGATGTGATGACAGCCTAGGTCATGTTTCTACATGTTCAGGGTCAGCTCTGGGCTGGAAGGCCCCAGATGCCTTCGTAAGGTCAGCATTGCACCGTTCACCCTGCCCTCCTGCTGTAACATGGCCAGGGATGGAATCAGCAGAGACTTAGTGCAGCTTGCTGACCAAATGACCCGGCTCAGATGTTACAGTTTCCATACATGAGGTTTTTCAAGGCTTATTTTGTTAAACATTTGACCGCATCAAAAGAAAACAAGGGTTTATTAGTGGTCATGGTTCCAAGACTGGGAAGCATCGGAAATTGGATGCTTTACTCTTTACCCTGATGGAAAGAGAAGGGAGAAGCGAAATAACTTAAGTGCAGAAAGCAAACACAGCCCCTGATATGCGGGGACAAGGCTCAGATGGGCAGAAGACAGGGTTTCTGAGTGGACCCTTGTCTCAGAGAACCGGCTTCTCCCTCTCTTCAGAACAGGGTACTGAAATCTCCCTCTCTACTGTTTACCAGATCAAGTCAAATGTATTTATTAAAATTCAGGTGTCACAAATGACCTCACGAAAGGAAAAATGGTGACGTTTCCAAATTAAGTCAGCACAACTGGAAAATCTAGAAATTGGAAAATCTAGAAATTTGTGTGAAGTAGGAGAACACCTGAAGAACTTGCTTCCAAGTTCAGAGCATTTGCTCATTCATCACGTCAAGAATGGGTCTTCCAGTACAGTTTCATGACTTTAAATTGCCCACCGGTAAAAATGAAAGAAAACTATTGGCATGTCTGAGAAAGCCCTGCAGCAGTTTTTACAAAATTCCCAGTATGACTGTTACTTTATTGTATTATTTGCTGAGATGTTGTGACTGTTCGCATGATAACTCAGTGAGCACGTGACTTTTTCTTCAACTTCATTTCTGAGCACTCACACAGATACTGGGACTAGTGTACACAACTGTCTGAAAGGGTGGGTGGGTTGTCACCATGGAATTTTAGCCATATACCTGGCTAAAATTGACTAGCCTTCTCCGTTTACCGGCCAGCACTGCCTCCATGAGATCCCATTCATTCCCCAGTTTCCTACAAGAGCCATCTGTTCTCGGGGGCTCAGCCTTCTCCCCTCCATTCCCTCCTCTGCCTGCTGCTACCTGGCTTCTTCTTCCCATCGCTCACCTGAAACTCCTCTTAAGAATGTCTTCCATGACCATCTAGCTGTCAAATTAAAAGGAAAAGTTTAAATTCTCATATCTTAATGGACTTCACTATGAAATCTGACAAGGCTGACCACACTGTTTTTTTGGAAATCCTTTCCTTGTTGTTTTCTCTGTCCTCTCTGACTTCTTTCCTTCTTCATCTCCACTATGGCCATTTCCCTCTCTTTCTGTTCTCTAAATGCTGCTGTGATCTAAAAGATTCCAATGGCATATCTTCTGCTACCAATATTTCTGGTTTACCCTGATGGCTCCTAAAACGAGATTTTCAGCCCAGAAAATATTCTGAGATCCAGACTTCTCTAGCCAACTGCCTATTTCATGTATCAAGCTTATCATCCTTTCTTTGACATTCTCTAAAGTTCTAATCTTCCCACCCAATTATCCACCTTGGTGAAACACATCACCGTCCTCTCAGTCACCTGAGCCAGAAACCTCAGGTTGATTCACAATCCCTTCTTCCCACCTTCTCTCCCACCCAAACCTCAACAGTCTCAGGCCATGTGTACCTCTTAAATCTCTATTTTCTCTTCCTTTCCATTTCACTGCTATTTTATTGTCTCTCCTCTGTGTTAACACATGAGCATCTCATCTGGCCTCCCTGACTCCATCCTCCAGAACTTTCTATTTCACCTTATGGTAAATTTTCAAAACACAAACTTGATCATGACAGTTCCCTGCTTAAAATCCTTTAATGGTTTCCCATCACTTTCAGGATGAAGTTCAAACCTTTTTTTTTTTTTTGGTGTTCTTTTAATTTAATTTTTTTTATTGTAGTAACATTGGATTATAACCAAACTTCTTAAATAGAAGGAAATAAACACTGAAAAGCAAAAAATAAACTAATGCAAAATAACTTATTATTTGGAAAAAGATTTTTTTGGTGATATGACCCTCATCTACTGTCCGTAACTACCTACTCATGCTACTCCCTCACACATCTCTTCAGCCCTATTCTACCATAAATGCATAGACTCCTTTGTACATTTTCCACCTAAAACTTTACCATTCTGCTCCTTTTGCCTAGGAGCCCTTAGCTCTCTTCTATCTTTATTCACCTGGGTAACTGCCACTCAACCTTCAAGACGTAGCTCAAATATTTTACCTCTTCTAGTACCTTCCTTCATGACCTCCTTTTACTCACCCACCCTCCTGTGTGTTCATAATACCCATTAAACTGAATTCTCAACTTGTATCTTTTTCCTGTATTATTCTACTGAGTTTCTTAGAATGTTTGACACATAATGGAAACTCAAGGGATATTTGATGATTGGATGAATGAATGAGCAAATGATGGAATATCAGGCCAAATAATAAAGGAAAGTAATACCGTATAAAGAACATTGTCCAATGTCTTGTGAGATTTGGTATCAGACGTCTGGTTTGTGAGCTAATCTGCTGTGTGATGGAAAAACTGCTTCATTTTTCAAGACCTTAGTTCTTTACCTGTTAAATAAAGAGATCGCACTAAGATGTAATGAAAGTCCATGTGTGGCTCTAATATCCCATAATTGCCATGACTGTCATTTCACAGAAAAGCATGACTAGTCATGACCTCAGTCGTATGTTACAGAATCAGTACGTGGTCTCTATGCCTTCATTGGGGATCGCCTCCATCTGGGCAGCCAATTTGCAGAATAGACTCCTAAATTACTGAAGCTTGGCATGTAAATGTTTCTTCCAAGGAAAGAGGTGCATATCCTGGTGGGAAAACTTGAGCTTACCATTCCCTCTGATATTTTTTGTTAAATATTCTTGTTATTGAAATCATTTACTTTCAAGAGAGTTGGTGATGTTCAGTCTCTCAGAGAGTGATATTCCTCCTGGGGAAGGTGGGTGAACGTGTGACATTGTAATGACTCAGTCCTAGACCATCTCAACGTGCCTTTCTGCTTTCTCGTAGATGGAAGTCCTTACACATGGTGGGTTGGCAAAGCCAACGAGAAGCACTACTACTGGGGAGGCTCCGCGCCTGGGATTCAGAAATGCGCCTGCGGCATCGAGCGGAACTGCACTGACCCCAAGTACTACTGTAATTGTGACGCGGATTACAAGCAGTGGTGAGTGCGGTTGTCAGCGCAAGCGAGCTTGCCCTCGTGGAGTGCCTTCAGGTCAAACTAATTAGATGGAAGAGAAAGCTTGAAAAGTGCCAAAATAGTAAGATAATAGCCTAGAAAGGTTTGGAACTAACCCAGTTGACAAATGTCAGGAACGTTCTGAAAAATATAAGGCAGAAAGCGGTCAGTGCAACGAGGATATGCATTTAGAAATAGAAGGACACATAATTGATGTGTTCATATTTTATTCAGAGAGGAAAATAATGAGCCATGTAGCAGGCATGATTTGCATTATAAAATGCGCTTTGTAACAATAGAGGGGATGGCCGAGGGCGGGGAGCCCGTGTGCAGGCGTGTGAGTACATCCACAGTAAACAACCTCCAACGGGAGGGCCTCCACCTCCTACAATGTTTGCTTTGAGTAGCTGGACAAGAAAAAAAAGAGAGGGGAAAAAAAAGAAAAGGAAAAAAATCGTTCTCTGCTCCTGTCTTCAGCAACAGTGCTTGCCAGTCGGTCCGCTTTTCTTTCATATGCCTGGAACTGTTTATAACTCTGATACGAATCAGTTCAAGGAAGATCTATTTTGGGTTTCTTTCATCCCTCTGCTGGCTTTTGTCCCACTTCACAGTCAATGGCTGGGTCTATGTCAGTAACAGATAAAGATAAAATCAGCTGTCATTCCTTGTCAAAAAGAGGCCCCAGAAGTTTAGGTGGAAGAACATAAACCAGGTACGGTTCTTCCCAGAAACACACATCCTATACCTGCTTCTTACGATTTCCGAAGCGTGGGGATGCTCGGTTCCTGCCTCTGGACAGCAGCAGAGAGCACAGCCCTGCCTTTCCTCCCAGGTCCAACCACAGTTTCCTTCTGTCAGCCTCTGTTTTACGCTAGTTAAAAGACAGTTTACAAGACAAGTTCGTTCTACCAGTTAATCAAAAACTAATTCTAAATGTAGAATTATGTGATTTCCAGGTAGGATGTCTACCTGTTTTCAAAAAGCCATTTTTATTTTAGTAAATGAAATGAATTACCAAGGCTGTACATCTCAATGGCTTAGAATTTCTACGTGGGAGTATGTAAATAGCTATCATTACTCTTTAATTGTGTTTTCTGGTAAAGAGAAAATCATGGTATTCAATTTTTAATTTTATTTATTTGAAAGATGTATCTACGCACACACACATTTATATGCAATACAAAGATCGGAAGTCAAGAGAATAGAATCAAAAGGACACGAGCTTTGAAATTAGCTTTTCATTTATTCAGTCAATCATTCATTCAGTCAGTCACTTACTCAACAAATATTGATCGAACTCTCATGTGCCAGAGAATCTTCTAGGTACTAGGGATAAAACAGTGGATGGCAAGAACAAAAATCCCTGGCCTGACTTATGTTCTTGTTGTCACTTTTTACTAGTTGTGTGTCCTTAAGCAAGTTCCCTAGGCTCTCTCAGATTCCTCTCTGTTCAACATTGACTCAAGACCCCTTCCGGAAGCTGGCTTTGGGTGTAGCCTCTGCAGCTAGATATGAGAACGCCATTCCAGAGGGTTCATCATCCTGGCAACCCAAACTGTTTGATTCTTTTTGTCCTACCACAGAGGATAGTTGAGCTATTTAGGAAGAGGAAATCCAGTGCATAAATTCAAGCGCAATTCATTTTTGTCGGACATTATGCTAAGTGCTAAGGATGTAATGACAAATAGAACATGCTCTTTGTCTTTAAGGAGCTCAAAACCTAAGTGGAGAAAAAAGCCACATGCAAATAGACAATGTAATATAATTAGTGCTCTGATGAAGACATGCACAGGATACAACAAAACCAGTGGAGGAAAATTTAAGTCTAACTGAGAGAGCGGAGGGAGGAGTTAGGAAAGTCCTCACAGAGAGAGGGATGCTCGAAAGGGAAGTAGGAGTTTACCACGCATACTCTTTCATATAAGATATTCTTGGAGGAGAAGCATGAATAAGTATTGTCAGTACAGTGGATCTGGAATGTGATGTGGAGAAAAGAGGAGAAACCACAGTAAGGCTAAGCGTGTAGCTTTTAGTCTTTTAAGGGGGTGTTAGGAGTTTAGATTTATCAGCAATGAGCCCTGTGAAGGTTGGCTTGATGTGGGAGGTGGGTAGAGAGGAAGTGGATGTCACAATAGCCCTTGACAGGCATCGAGGGCTTAAGGTAAACGATGACATGACCATGGAGAAGGGGGAATATATATGAGATATTTGGGAAGTGACCTCTACAGGACTTGATACTTAGGACTATGCAAGAAGAAAGACAGAAGTCTAGGTAGGCTCCCCACAGGGCACCTAGACATAGAGGGGAAGTAAGGCCATATATCAAGCTAAGGAATAAAGCTTTGAGCAAGTAGACGATGAGTTCAGCTTTGAAAGTATTCAATTTGCGGCGTCAGCATAACATCATGTCTAACCCCAGAGGGGCACCATTAGTGGGATTACTGATAAGAAACACGGATTTCAGAGAAATGTATTTGCATCTGAAACCATTTCCAAGAACGTACCTGAGTTCAGATGACAGATGAGAACACTTATTGCAGACATACCGATTCCGCTTCACCCACAGACACAGCCCTCTGGCAAGCTTTCGATTGGGACATAATTTTCCAGTTGCACAGGGACCCAGACACTGCTATGTCCTGTTCCCTTCTGGCTGAGTAGCAGCTAAGACGTCCTCACCTCGTGACTTCTGTAAAGTTTGTCTAATGTTCATAGTAGAAGCAAATTTTGAGCAAACTGAAAAGTGTAATGAATATGTTTATAATAAATAGCTATTAAAATGGTCTTCCCTATTTCGCACAAGAAAGAAAGCTTTTGGAGGTGTCTTATTGATCTTTGAATTCACCAGCACCCAGCAAAGGGCCAGCCGTGTGGGATGCTTTAAAAATGGCCTAGATTTGCCACTTTTGAGGGAGGCTTTTAACCAATTGGAAACTTTTATTGTCTGACAATAAAACAAATCTTGGGGCCAGCCCAATAGTGTAGTGGCTAAGTTCGCATGTTCTGCTTCAGTGGCCCAGGGTTCACGGGTTTGGATCCCGGACATGGACCTACATATCTGTCATCGAGCCGTGCTCTGGTGGCATCCCACATACAAGATAGAGGAAGATTGGCATGGATGTTAGCTCAGGGACAATCTTTCTCAAGCAAAAAGAGGAGGATTGGCAAGAGATGTTAGCTCAGGGCCAATCTTCCTCACCCAAAATCAATCAATCAGTCAATCTTGACTGGCTGATTTTGTGAGAATTAAATAGAATCTAGAATATAAAAAACATTCTGTAAATTGTATGGTATGAGATGCATAACTGTTTGCGGTTCTTAATTATGTAACTCTCATTGCAATTCTTAATGATTCCAAATGAATCTGAAGAAATGAAAACCGACTGTGGAAAGTGGGTCCCTTCATGCTTTGAACTTGCTGTGCAGCAGACCTCAAGTCGAATTCCATAGCGTCACCTGGCAGTGTTATGGAACAGGCTTTACGGGAGAACCTTACAAATCAGGGGTCACCAAGAGAAGAGAAGGTACAGGTCCCCAGCCCCATCATCCCTCTGAGAGAGATGCTGGAACCAGGCTGTCATGCTGAATGCATCGAGGATTTATGTCCCAAGGAACCCCTTGCTGCTTTTGCTCCCATAGGGCAAGAATGAGAGCAACTTTGTCGGTGGAAGAAAGTCAGACTCTGAGAGTAGCAGATGAGCTGGGTGTAGGGGCCAGCTGTTTAGGGGCATTGTCTGGGTGTCATATTCCCTCCAGGGGCAGGGAGGAAGCCATGCCCCCGTAGGAGGCTGACTTCAGGCGCAGCCTCTCCACTAGGAGAAGGGAGAGTACTTCCCAGCTGGTTCACTGTCCAGGCAACCGGAGTGTGTGCTCCCATGATCACTGGTATTCAATTCTTTTGGTCCTAGCACAAAGGAGAGCTGAGACTTTCATGAAAACAATAATTGACTACATAAAGCCAAGTGAAATTCACATATGTGAAACTGCACTCGTGGTGACGTAAAAGTAAAGATACAGGTTCTACTGAATCTCTTGCTTTCAGACTCTGTGTCCACCTAAGAAAGCTACTTCTACTAATCTTACCGCAATCACAGCAATCATTTGATTAAAACGGCCTGAGACCAAATGGGTGCAAAGTTCTCCTGTGTCATTTCCTCTGCATGTGACCTAGTCAGGACATTTGACTTCTCTAAGTTTTCACGTCAGCAGAATATGGATAGATAGTACTTCCTAATTCACGTAAAGATTTGGTAAAGTGCTGTCATAAATGATGTTTAAAATTACAGTAGGGTATATTATTTTTATTTTTTGCATGTTGAATGGACGTGCTAATTAGCTAAAATCGTTACAATTTTCTTGGATTACAGATGCATAAAGTGGGGCCAAGGACAATTTTAATTACTTTCCAAAAATTATATTGGAAGTGAGAAGCAGAGAGAAGAGTAAGACCCAAAATTTCCAGTCCAGTGTTTTTCTACAATATCATGATCAAGGAAGTCTACTCACATTTTTTTATGTTTTTAATGATTTATGAATTTCATGTTTTAGCTAGCTATATGTAAGTTTTAAATTTAAAGCTTAAACAATAGACCACATGTTGTATGTGCTTTTTTTAAAGAACTCTAAAACTAAGATTGAGCATTTATTCTTATTTACTAGAGTAGAATACACAAAAATGGAGCCGGGATAAATGAGATTGTAGCTCAGAGCGTGATTGGGTCTCATAGCAAAGCAGCAATAGCCTGCGAGAAATATAACCAACTCAATAATTGTCTGATTATCTATGCTGGGAGAAGTTTTGCACAGTTATTTCTGAGATTGAATGTAATTTAACATTTATGATTTACTATTCACAGCAATAGTAAATATTCCCACCTACAGTGCCAGAATCCTAATTAAGCGAGCCTTGGTCTCAGCTAAGTACCCACCACTGGGTAATTCCTGGTCTCTTGCAGCCTGGCTCAATGAGCTAAATCATCGCTTCT